ATATGATAGGTAATCAACAGCCTCAAATTCCTCAGTCGAACTCGACTCAACAATCTCAACAAGGTCCAACTTTCCAGCCACCGGGAATAATGTATTACGGAGCTCCACACCATTCTTAAATTTAGAGATGATGTTAGTTAATATAGTAGCTTTAGATAGTTCTGACCCTTTTTTATCTACGGAAATGTGGTTTTCAAGATACGTTGTTGGGTCGAATCAAAAAGGAAATATTTGTTCCTCTGGTTGTAGAATTGTTCATCTTTTCCCTTACAGATATTTGTACCACAAGCTTTCACAACATAATGTAAGAATAATTCTCCCTGATTCTTCTTGTTACAACATTTTCCCGTACTTTTAAGAATCGAACACGAGGACAGAAGGTTGAATTATCGGTCTGAACGATCTTTTACATTTGTTTTCGTCGTAAATCAACAGTTTTAAACCCAAACCTGATTAGCCCTTTTTCATTAAAGCCTTCTTCTGGAGAAAATCTTTGAACCAAAGAGGCATATGGTACATGATTGCCATGAGGGTTGAGTACCTGCCCGAAGAGAACCAAGCGGGTGGGTTCTTCTTGAGCACTACAGCTACAGTGTCTTTGGCGAATGTTTCTGCGGGAGTTGGCTTCATCCTCTGTGAGAAAAACGCCCTCTCTCTGATAGCTTCTTCGTAAGGCTTGTATAGTTTCAGCTCAGGCATTTTGTTGAATGTTGATACAGCTGAGTTTGCTATGTTTGTTCTTATTCCTCCCGGGACAACATTGATGACATCAATGCCAAATGGCCCGAGCTCCAACCTACGTTTATCAGGAAGGAACCATTACAAACAATTGGAAAAACCAAGACATTTCAACAACTACTCTTCTCATGAACATCAAGAATCATCTACCTAACTCAACAACATAAATCAGATGGAGGAAGTTTCTTCAAACGAAAAACGGAGGCAACTGAAAAGGCGCTAAAACCGAACCTGAGGGTATCGGTAAGAGCATGAATAGCAGCTTTGGTAGCAGAATAGACCCCGGCCCATGGACCAGGTGCCATAACAGTGACACTTCCAACATTCACAATCTTTCCCTTTTTCTTAGACACCATGTGAGGTACAACAGCTTGAGTCATTCTCATGGAACCTGCATTTGATCAAATTCACCTTTCTTGAAAAGTATCTCATCATTTGAATCTTGATTTCTTACACATTTCACTCAAAAGCACAAAACTATTGAATCTCCCATTAGTAACCAAAATGAGAAAAATTGGGAAACAAATCATACATTGACCTCAAACACGAAAGTAAATCAAATCAATTTTTCACAAAATCCGATTTGTTACCGAATACATTGGTGTTGAAGGTGTTTTCCATGGCGGAAATCGGGATCTCGGCAAGAGGTCCGACGCATTGAACACCGGCGTTGTTAACAAGAACGTCGATCCTTCCGAATTTCTCAATAACCTCCAACAAAACTTTGTTCACGTTCTGATCCGATTGTACATCGAGCTCTTTCACGGAAAACCTCGGATCCTGTTCCAGATCCGTCATCGTACTCCGTGATCGGCTCGTCGCCACCACTCGACAGCCTTTATCAGAGAACTCACGAGCAAGCGCGTGGCCGATTCCTCCCTGCGAACATCCCGTTATCAGTACCACCGGACTACTCTCGCCGTCTCCGTCGTTTTTCTCCATTTTCAGTGACCTCTCGAAGTTATCTAACAATGGAATTTTGTAATTTGAATATTTATTCGTCTTTCTGTGTTATTTATTGTTGTGCCAGAGAGAAAATTTCTGTATTTTATAATCCTTCCATAGGTTTTTTAAATTTAACGGCTCTTCCCCATAATTTTCTACATTTAACGATTCTTCCCCAAAAGTTTCTAAATTTGTGGTATTACCCACAACTTTCTAAGGCTAACAATTATTAATAATGATATCCTACACATACTTCTAAAATTTACGATTACTAACCACAAGTTCATACTTGTTACGATTATTCCCCACGAGTTCCTTAATTTCACGATTCTTCCCCACGACTTTTAATATTTCACGATTGTTCCCTATGGATGTGTGTCCCCCATCTATATAGTCGCATCTCTCACGTTAATTATCTCATATAAACAAAAGCAACTAGAAAATCACATTTGATTAATATTTTAACTTACAAATCGATTAGTCTTTACATATATATCGCTAAAAAAAACATCAGAGAAAAAAAAAAAATCTTCATTTCGTAAACGAAAAAACAAACAAAAAAAGTTTATAGAAGGAGCATATATATATGTTTTTTTTTTTTCTAACCAGGAGCATATATATATACATAGTTTAATTAAGCAGAGAAGAAGCCATTGGAGACAGCAAGAGCAAACTGAGATTTAGTATCAAACTTCCTCTTCAAACTCTCAATCTTCTTCTCTTCCTCAGCCCCAAACATCTTCATTTTCGCCGGGAAATTATTCCACCACCCAATCTCCGCGGTATCCGACGGTTTCTCCGCCGTTAACTTCACCCTCCTCTCATATTCTTCCGCCACTAATAGTGCTATATCCGCCATTGAATGAATCACTTTGATCTTTTTTCTTTATTTGTTTATCTCCAATTTGTATGACAAAACGTAACCATTGAACACGTACGCTATTTATATTGCTTTAGGTTTCCGGTTTTGGATAAGGATCGATTCCATTGAATTGTTTTTTTTAATAAATATCTGAATTCTATTGGGTTTGGTGGTTTCTAGAGAAAGTTGGCTAGGGTCGGTTTCTTCATACCATGTGCACCTGCTAAGTAGTATATCGGGAAAACGTACTAATTGACTCCTCTCCCCCAAACTTTCATATCTTCGTAAATAGACCCGAATAACTAAATTCGTACTATGAACATTAAATGCTTATTTCACTCTAATTCTGAGTTTTATCGGTTAATAACAAAATCCGATCGTAAACCAAATACACCGGTTAATATACCGAAATCGAAATCAGAGTGGTATTAAACCGACCCAAACCCACTTCCTTTATCCACTTAATACAATTCAAAATTGAAATACAAAAATCCCCAAATTGGAAGAACTCTAATTATGCAAGTGGCAAAATCGAAGCTCACAATGTAGGAAGAATAATAATAAATCTACTTAACTTCGTCCTTCTGGGTAAATCTACGAGATGAGATCGATGAGGGATGCGATGAAGGGTATGAAAATAAACTATATATACTAGTCTTGCCGGATGGTAACAATAAATCTGGTTGGCATGGTGGTCAGTAGGACCATGATTAAGTGCTAGGTCTTGTGTTCGGTTCTCTAGTCCTCCACTGAGCGTTTATTTCCGTAATTTAACGATTAAATGACGATATTGCCCTCTGTCTTCTTCATGAAGATATGACGATTTCTGCAATCCTTGCCGACGCCTCTCTTCATTTTTTTCACGTTTTTTTTCCAGTTTTCCAGTTTTTCTTTTTAATTTATAACAAAATAGGACAATTCATCAAGTTATTTCAAATAATGGAATAATTGAAGTTTAAAGCTGCCGATTTCAATATAATGTAAGAGACTTCTGGGTTGTCAAAGAGGATTGGAAATCTGTTGATTTTGAGTTTGGCTTTTTTAGGGTTCTTCACGATTTTGTTTTCGTGATTTGAGGATCGGATTTTCTGGGT